CACGCGAGGCCGACCGAAAAAGAGAAATTCAACGAAACGTGATCCATGTGTTTTGAGTACCGGGAAAGAGGTTATCCGGTTGGCCGTAAAAGCACTTCGTCACAAGCACCGACAAGCTCGTCTTCTCAGCGTTCAGAAGGACCGACAGGTTTTATTCTAATTTAATTTATTTTTAAACACTTCATCGAATTATGTTCATAAATAAATTCGATTATATATATTCTGACGTGAAATGTTTGTGATATTATAGAGACGTTCTCGACAGACTTCTTCGGTTACCGGTATTGGAATAGCATTCCCTACATTGTGCACGACTACGTAGAGAGCTACTTGGATGTGACCGACGATGGGAACTGCGGATTTCGGGAACTTGCGAGCTATATTTTTGGTGACCAGGAGAAGTACCGGTTGGTAAGACAAATTATTGCAAATGAGATTGCGGGGAACATTTCGAGGTACGAGAACATCTTCTTTGATGGGATCGACGCAACACTCAATCGAATACGCTGGGATGGGGGCCCTTGTGGCCGTAACCACTGGATGGAAACTATGTGCGACCTCTTTCCCGTTGCCACATTTCTTAATGCAGTTGTGGTCTTGATAGGCATGGGTGAGCATGGTGACAATCCCACCTTTTATAGTTCTACTGTACTGCCTCTCGTCGCACCATCGACGGCTACATATCCGGAGCGAGAGATCGTCTTGTGTCACCTTGGTTGTTACCCACACTTCATTCGTGTTAATTTGGCGCCCGACCATCCAATACCGCCTATATGCCTTTTTGGACGTCACTTTGAGATGAGTCGGTTAACAGTTGGGAGAATTACTACAGCAGTAGAATAGCTGCGTGGATCAGGATTCGTGATGCACCTAAGTCTTGATATTCTTATTATATTCGGTTGTGATTATTTGTTATTTTGAACTTATTTATTTCATTGACTTCGATTTTGAGTTGATGTATTTTTTTAATTATAATATAGTATAGCATATCGAAAATATAAAAACATAATGTGAATGAGTAACGACATATAAAAAAAAAACAACTCAATCAACAACCGGCCCAACATAAATAAAAAAAACAACCAAAAGTCGAGCGTACAGTAAATAAAGAAGAACAATTCAACCAAAAGTCGAGCGTACAGTAAATAAAAAAAAACAACATTATTTCCATAAAACGTCAACGCTGCGTCGCTTTATCCCAATCCGCCTTAACTACGGACCAAGCGTCTACATACTCCTTCGTCAAGACAGGATCAACACGCTCGAACCGCGATATGTACGCAGAGTGGATGTCGTCGAAACGCTTGATCCACTATCCACAAATCGAAGAGTTACAATAAATAAACATTATAATGAAAGCACACATTGAGAACAAAAATAAAATAAATAAACGACTTACATAAGAAGCATCGACGCGCGAAGGGACTGGGGGAGGCTCCGTGGGATCGCCACCCAACAGCTTCGGACGAGAAACCCTAGCGAACCACTCGGAGTACCCCGGCTCGACCTCCCCCGGTGTAACTGTGGTGGGGGTGTAGGCAGCCAGGTTGACGGCTGACATCTGCGGGAAATCGTCCCAGGAATCATCTGCAGCTTCTGCAGAGTGCTCGACCTTGTACAACCGAGACTCCCAAGCCCGTACTACACTGGATGGCCGACGGATCTTGGGAAGGATACGCTGGACGTAGCC